AAAAAAAAAAAATTTGGAATTATTTTTTTTTCAATGTTCAATAATTTTTAGAAGAAAAGGATAATAATATAATGGAAAAGCAAACCCGGTTTCTTTATGTACCACTTTGAAATTTAAACAAACAACAATCACCATGGTTAAAATTCAAAAAATTCAGCGCTGTCGTTATGTTGGTAGCCCTGTTGGAACATACGTTCCACAGGTACATAAAACCGAGTGAAAAACTAATATTAATTTTAATTAGATATACGCATTTAAGCCATTCGGTCGTGCCAAATTGTAAAAAAAAAACTAAAAACCTAAAGCTAACTAAATAAAACTTGCCATAAATTTCTAAAAAACGTTTGCCTTTTACTCGAAAGTAGTTTTCGCGAGTGTTCCTGCCATCGAGCAGATTTTTAAATTATTTTAAAAGGAGCAACATCAATCGGAGCAGCCTGAAGGAACTCCACTGTACAGCAGAGCGTAGACCAGCACAGCTACCGGTGTTATATTAGCACGAAGCCCCAAATAACCGGGAAGCCTAACAAGCAGCGGGTTCTGGGTAAGCGAGCTTTTTGCCTATTTCTATACGCGGGTGAATTGTGCTCAATGAGCAGGCTGAGGGCGCAACAAATTTCATATATCTCCATACGAAGCGTTCCAGTACTCTACCAAGAACAATTCTAGAGATATGCAATAAGAAAAATTCGACTTGTATGGGAGGTGCCACGCCCGTACAAAGTTCCAGTACTCTACCATGAACACTTCCAGAGATACTTATTATGAAAAGTTCGGTTTGTAAGGGAGGTGCCATGCCCCCTTTTCAAATAGTCCAAATGTTTCTTCATGAGTATGCGATCGATTTCATATATCTCCATACCAAGTTCCAGTACTCTACCATGAACATTTCCAGAGATATACAGTACGACAATTTCGGTTTGTATAGGAGGTGCCACGCCTTTTTCCAATAACTTCAATTTTTCTCTATGAGTATGTGATTGATTTCATATATTTCCGTACAAAGTTCAAAAATTTTACCATGAACGCTTCCAGAAATATGCAGTATGAAATATTCGTGTTGTATGGGAGGTACCACGCCCTCTTTTCCATTAGATATAATTTTCTGCAAGAGTATGCGATTGATTTTATGTATGTACCTCCAGTTTCTATCCAAGAGTATGGGATTGATTTCATATATCTCCATACCAAGTTCCAATACCCTACCATAAATACTTCCAGAGATATGCAGTATGAAAAATTCGATTTGAAAGGGAGGTGCCACGGCCCCTTTTCCAATAGGTCCAATTTTTCTGCAAGATTATGGGTCCGATTTCATGTGCGCCAATACCAAGTTCCATAACTCTACCAAGAACACTTCCTGAGATATGCAGTATGAATATTCGGTTTGTATGGGAGGTGCCACGCCCCCTTTTCCGATAGCTCCACTTTTTCTCCAAGAGTATGCGATGGATTTCATATATCTCCATACCAAGTTCCAGAACTCTACCATGAACATTTCCAGAGATATGGAGTATGAAAAATTCGGTTTGTAGGGGAGGTTCCACGCTCCTTTTATATATCGAGATTTTTGTTAGGATGGTTATCGGATCCTTCGAACGTCTGCAGCAGGTGTCCGAAACTTCAAAAAAAATCGGTTCAGCCGTTTTCGAGCTTTGCGATATACATAGATGGATAAGAGTTGAGAGAGTTTTCATATTGCGCTCACTTACGTACAAAAAAAAACAATGAAGCAGGGTTTTTATGCGTAATTATATACACATATATGTACACATATACATAAATATGCACATACAAATGTAAGTGCTAACAGCAATGTTAGTTGCTCCTTGTGGCAACATAAACGACTCTACATACATAATTGCCTACATTATTTCTCCATGAACTGTACTTATGTACATATTTGTTTTTTACTTCGCTTTTATTAGCTTGGGATGTAACTATGTTGCGGATATTCACTGATGAAAATTATTCCAATTATACAAGGAAATGAAGTGCGTTTAAAATTCAATATATTGCTTTATTAAATACGTATAGTAAATGCAATGTCTATTCGAGTAGCGATTTCAATGTACATATGTACACTCGTATATATAAATTACTTAAAGCGGTAGCGGGTGGAACGATTAATAGCGATGCAGTCACTAGTAAGCGGTAATAACGATTGATAAAAATAAAGATTATATTACAAGAACAGGTGCATAACAAATTAGAAAAATAAGTGTCAAAACGATTAACCCTTATGCGGTGACTCTACACTTAACCCTTATGTAAACATCTGCAATTAGCACTTGAGTAAATGCTTAAATGGACTCAACATACCGCCGCCCTTGAGCTACCTTGATATGTTCAATACAAAATTTAGGATGCCGCTAAAGTTAGACTTCAAATTCAAAAATTCAAATAGTATCATAAAAAAGTAGTTGGTTAGTTTTCCTCGCAAAACAGATCTTCTTTTGTTGGAAGAAGGCACAGCTTAACTATTGGCCGGACCAATTCTCCATGCGGTGTTTTCAAAGTAACTACGCGCACATGTCCATCAGTTCCAGGATGGCATTTTACGACTCGTGCAAGCGTCCACTTCATCGGAGGAGTAGGCTCGCTGAAAACGGCGACCACATCCATTCCTCAATGTTGCGCGAAGAACGAAACCATTTGGAGCGTAGTTGTAGGCTTACCAAATATTCATCCCTCCATCGGCGCCAGAAATGTTGTCTCAGGGCAGAAATCGCTTGCCATCGCTGACGAAGATTTCCACAGAACCCTTGACCCTCAGATTCTGTGATTGACTTCAGCGGCTCACCCACAATGAAATGCCCAGGCGTAAAGACTTCTAGGTCACCAGCTTCTGAGGAAATGTCACATAGCAGGCGGGAGTTCATGCAAGCTTCTACTTCTGTTATTGTATGTCTGTATTGTCTGATGCCATGACTTTGCAAAAGCCTCTGCGATTTGTGAACCTTTTAAACGCGTTAAGGAACGCTGGCGTTGACAGGTCACCAACAAATTCGAGATGCATCGCACCTGTACACATACAAACGAACGAACAGATATAGCCCTTAGTGGCCTTAGCTCCTCTTCCGTGGGTAAACTTGTACATGTAAGGCCCAGCGAAATCGACAGCGGTGCGGGTGAAACAACGAGCGTAGGTTGTGCGAGTAGCAGGTAGGTGACCCATGACCTGCGCGGCAGGATTTCGGTTCAAGCAAGTGCACTTCACACACTTGCGATATACGTTGCGGACCAGGCTGCGAGCGCCGACAACCCAATAACGGCGTTGTAAAACAGTCTGCATAATTCGGGTACAAGGTAAGTTTGTGTATTTCGCAGACTATTAGCTTAGCGAGCGGACAGTTCTTCGGCAGGATAATGGGATGCCTTACGTCAGGCGTGACTTGTGCATTTTTTAATCTGCCTCCAACACGCAGAACGTTGTTCACATCGAGGAACGGCTTCAAACGCAAAAGACAACTGACAAACAGAAATCTCATTAGACAAATAATGCTGTTGCGTATACCCGACTAGGTGAAGTTCAGCTTCAGACAACTCGTTGCAACTCGGAGGACCAAACCGCTTTGTAACGCCGAGACGTCTGTCAGCTCGAGCGTTGAAGCAGAAGCGCAGAACGTAAGCAATGATACGACGAAGTTTGGAAAACGACGAGTACTTCGTTATTACCGACCAGTGATCGCTGGAACTAGTCACATGGGCGCGGACGCTGCTTCGAATGCCCAACTCTGTCGTGTGCTGCTTAGATGATTTTTGCTTCCAAAATTGGTCAGTGCTTCTCAGGAAGTCAGGACCATCCCACCACAGTTGATGACGTAGTAACTCGGTGGGAGTTACATCCCTTGAAACGCAATCTGCAGGGTTCTGCTCGGAGAGGACGTGGTTCCAACACTCAGGCGGCAGGACTTCCTGAATGTCGGCTACGCGGTTGGCAATAAAAGTCATCCATCTGCTGGGATGCGCCTGCAGCTAAGCCAACGTGATGGCGGAGTCAGTCCACGTGAACAGCGGGTAATGGAGATCAGACCAGCTGAGTAGCATGCTTCGCGCCAGTTTTGCAGCGAGATGCGCGGCGCAAAGCTCTAGTCGTGGTAATGTTGTCGGTTTAAGCGGTGCCACCTTGGTCTTCGACGATATCAACGCGACAATAATGCTACCATCGCTTTGTGAGGTACGCGCGTACAGAACGGCAGCGTATGCGCGCTCGGACGCATCGGCAAACACGTGCAGTTGCGTGGATGACCCAGATACTTCCGTACCGAGCCAGCGATCCACCTTCAAGTGTGCGAGCTGCTGCAATTGATGCTCCAACCATTTCGTTGCGATGGATCAGGAATGAGGTCATCCCAACCTACATTGGTGCGCCAAATGTCTTGGAACCACATCTTTGATTTTATAGTTGCAGGCGCAAGCAGTCCCAACGGATCGAATAGCGTGCTTGCGTCTGATAAAAATGCTCTTTTGGTCAAACTAGCGGGTGGTTGCTTCAGGCTGACAGTGAATGTAAAGTAGTCTGCCTCCGTGTTCCAGATCAGACCTAACGCATGAACATCCTTATCGTCGACGATGTAATGCGATATGGTTTCAGCTGCATTACAGATGCTTGCATTTAGTTCCACGCAGTTCGACACCCACTTTCGGAGTTCAAATCCACCTTCCCGCAATATTTCAGACACTCTTTGCTGCAGCAACAGAAGTTCCTCCTTACTAGATGCACCACTTAGCAGGTCATCCATATAAAAGTCCTTTAGGATAACATTAACGGCTCTAGCACAACCATTTAATATTTTGCCGTCTGTTGCAGCGATCGGACAGCTAGGTGAGATGCAGCTGCTACTCCGTACGTAACACGCACCATGCGAAAATCTTGGATGGGCAAGGATGGATGGCTGCGCCAAACGATGCGCTGCAGATCGGCATGTTTTGAGGATATGCAGATTTGACGATACATTTTGGCGATATCTGCGGTTACTGCGTAGCGGTGCGTTCTAAAGCGCATCAAAATCGTGTACAAATTGTGTTGCAGTTGAGGGCCGACAAATAAGGCGTCATTCAGCGAATTACCGGAAGACGATTTGGCGGACGCGTTGAAAACAACCCTCAGTTTTGTTGTAATGCTACTCTCCTTTATAATGGGATGGTGCGGCATGTAGTAGGTTTGATTCAAGGTTTCTGACGCGGTCTGCATATGATTCATGTCGATGTGTTCTTTCATAAACTCGTTGTAGCGCAAACGTAGGTCGCTGTCGCAAGCGAGTCTTCTTTCAAGGCGTAGTAAATTCTGGACGGCGAGGTTTCGCGATTTCCCTAGCGGTACATCGGGCTTCAACGGCAACTCAACGATGCATCGCCCGGTAGGTTCTCTTCGGTGCGTTGTCTCGAAGTGGTCTTCACAGTAACGTTCTTCGTATGTAAGATGTGTTTTTTGATGCGCTTCCTCCAACTCCCACAGCCTAGTCAAGCCTAGTCGCTCTAGCTGAACATCACAGTGCAGCGACTGCAAGCGTGGCGCAGAAGGCCCGGCCCCACGCACGCTTCCAAACAATGTCCATCCAAAGACCGTCCGCTGAGTCATGGGAGTCACGGGTGGACCCTTGTGGAATTCCGCACAGACAAGATGGTCCATGACGTCCATGCCAACCAATACGTCGATACGCCCAGGCTCCATAAACTGCGGATCGGCTAGAAACAACCCTCATATATGCAGCCATGTTGAAACAGCTACAGTCTGCGTTGGTAAATCGCTCGTAATTTTTGGCAAAATTAGCGCGTTGAGAGTGAAGCATTGATCGGAACAGTAGGAGGAGAGAGACAGTGATACCTCACCTCTAGCTCGGCCTCCTTGCGCTGACCCAATTCCGGTGATGTATACTTCGGATGATGTTCGTTGCAGGCCAAAGCGTTGCACACAAGCCTCTGTCACAAAGGAGGCATGCGACCCGGAGTCGAGCAGTAAACGCGCGGTTTGCCAACGGCCGGAACAATCACATACCTTTACTAACGCGGTGGATAGCAGCACAACTTTTTCTACTGGAATGGGCGGATTGAAATTGGAGTTGAGGCATGATGAAACGGAGGCAGCGGCGGCGCTCGATGAAGGGTCGTCGGCTAGTGAATCGTTTGCGCGCGGCACGGGTTCAGCGGCAGCGTTAGATGATGCGTCAAATACTAATGAGGCGTTCGCGTTTACGTGTGGCGCGGTGTCAGCGGCAGAGAACGGATGGGGCGGATTGTTGGAAAAATTACTATCTGCGGTAACGGTTGTTGAAGGTACAGCGCCATGCAACAGCGTGTGATGACGTTGGTAGCACACACGGCAAGTGGAAGCACTGTTACACCGATCTTTATAGTGTCCCGAGCTTAGGAAATTTAAACATACACGCGCCAGCTTTACGAATTTCGATTTTGCGTTTAAGTCCAGATCACGAAACTTTTCACAACCATAAATTTTGTGAGGTCCATTGCAATAAGCACACGCGTTATTCTGTTCCAGTACCGCATGGAACACGTTTGTCGATTTGCTTGCTGATGCGGTTTTGGACTTGACTTACTGATGGCGGAAACATGGATAGCGACCGACATCGTATCTCTAGAAATGTGGCTAATTGTTCGAATGACGGAGGCTCATCACTCACGAGTGATAGCTCCCACTGCTTACG